GTCCCATTCTGGTGTTTCACTCGTCCCATTCTGGTGTTTCAGTTTTTCCATTCTGGTATTTCACTTGTCCCATTCTGTGTTTCACTTGTCCCATTCTGTTTCAGTTTTCCCATTCTGTGTTCCAGTTTTTGCATTCTGTGTTCCAGTTGTCCCATTCTGTTGTTCCAGTTGTCCCATTCTTTGTTTCAGTTTTCCCATTCTGTGTTTCACTTGTCCCATTCTGTGTTTCACTTGTCCCATTCTGTGTCTTAGTTGTCCCATTCTGTGTCTCAGTTTTCCCATTCTGGTGTTTCTCTTGTCCCATTCTGTGTTTCGCTTGTCCCATTCTGTGTTTCGCTTGTCCCATTCTGTTGTTTCAGTTTTCCCATTCTGTTGTTTCAGTTTTCCCATTCTGTTGTTTCAGTTTTCCCATTCTGTTGTTTCAGTTTTCCCATTCTGTTGTTTCAGTTGTCCCATTCTGTGTCTCAGTTGTCCCATTCTGTGTTTCACTTGTCCCACTCGTGCCCCATTTTCTGTTTTATTTCCTGAGCCCTCCTCCATAAGAAAATAGATCCATAAAGTGTGCAGGGTGTGGGGCAGAGAACGGTTGCAGAGGCAAGAGGGGGAAATACCAACAAATTCACCTGGGTTGCCTCTCGTGTGACAGTTTCCCATTTTTTGTCACCTGCAGCTGCCCCTTGACTCCCACCGTGAGCAAAGCCAGCGCTGGAGCCATGGAGGTCTTCGATGTCTATGGAACAGATGATCTGCAGGGCTTTCTGAAGGTACAGRGATCCACTTCACTGTTCCCTTTTCTTCAAGAAAACTCAAACATTGCCTGAACCACACCCAGAGGAGAAGCCCTGAGTTATTGGCTGTGGGGTCACAGGGATGGGCACCCATCGGGTGGGGACAGAGGGTGGCTGCTTTTCCTGGAAGCTGCTGGTAGCAGGATGATCCCGGGGATCTCTTTATGCCTTTTCTGTCTCCTTTTCCTTGGGCTGTGTGGCAGAGCAGCATCTCAGAGCCCAGGCACACGATGGCAGCATTGGGCAGCCTTTGGAGACAGAAAAAAAGGARAAACCAGGGCTGGAGGGAGCTGCTGGGGATCCTTTTACTCTGTGCCTAAGGAAAGGGAATKCACGTGGAAAAATGGGATTTAAACTGGGACTAGGTAGATGCCAAAAAAAACCCCAGTCAACTTCATGAATGTAAAAAAAAAAAAAAAAGCGTTTGCATACATGACTTATTTTCTTTTTAAGCTTGAAAAGTTGTCAGTTCTCTGTTTCATTTTTCATTTTCTAGGCTAAAAGTGCAGAAGGCTGGGARGTGGTGGGAACAGTCAGCAGGCCTGAGGATGTGGAAGATGTTCCWGTGATCAGCTGCTCGGAATTCCAGTGGGACAAACCCATTATTGTAGTTATAGGTATTGCCATCTCCTGAGCTGGGTGTGAGGGGGGTGTTCCACCCTCCAAATCTGTTATTTTGTCTGGAAAGGAAAAGCTGAGAGGAAATTGTGAGATTTTGTGGCTATGAATGAAGTAGGGACTGAGGGGGAGCTGAGGAGGTGTAGGTTTTGGACAGTGGAGAGTTGTTTGTTTTGGTGAATAAAAAATTGTGGGAAAATAGATATAATTAGCTACAGAAAAATTAGTTTTATAGAGAGCTGGGATTTTCAGAAAAAGATAGAGAAAAAATAAGAAAAAATCCTATTTTTTCAGTTGCTTGCAGGGGTTCCCAGTAGGAATTTTAGGAGCAGTGGATGGATGCAGCAATGGAGGGTCTGCTTGGCAGTTTTTGGTCAGCTCTGGGGGAGGCTGGCATTGTGTTTTGAGGTGTTTTGTTCCTGTCCTGGAGCCCCAGATTTGGGGTTTTGTGTGGTGGGGTTTTGTGTGGTGGGGTTTTGTGTGGTGGATCTTCTGTGGTGGGGTTTGGTGGAATTTTCTGTTCTGGGGTTTTTCTGTGGAGGGTTTTCTGTAGTGGATTTTCTGTGGTGGGATTTGATGGGGTTTTCTGTGGTGGGATTTGATGGGGTTTTTCTGTGGTGGGGTTTTTCTGTGGTGGGGTTTTTCTGTGGTGGGGTTTTTCTGTGGTGGGGTTTTTCTGTGGTGGGGTTTGGTGGAATTTTCTGAGGTGGATTTTGTGTGGTGGGGTTTGGTGGAATTTTCTGAGGTGGATTTTGTGTGGTGGGGTTTTCCGTGGTAGATTTTCTGCGGTGGGGTTTGGTGGGGTTTTCTGTGGTGGGATTTAATGGGGTTTTCTGTGGTGGATTTTCTGTGGTGGATTTTCTGTGGTGGAGTTTGGTGGGATTTTCTGTGGTTGATTTTCTGTTGTGGATTTTCTGTGGTGGGATTTGATGGGGTTTTCTGTGGTGGGTTTTCTGTGATGGATTTTCTGTGGAGCTGTTTGCTCTCCCTTCACGGAGCTGCTTGTGGGGAGCTGCACCACATTTCCCCTTAAAACCCAGGAATGTCTCGTGCCCAGGGAAGAACCACCAGGGGCTGTTTTTGGGGTGGTGTGGATGCAAAGCTGGGCTTTGTGGCCACCTTGGGAGGAGGCAGGAGCACAGGAACCTCCTCCCTCTCGGAGCAGTGGCTGCCACTTCCCTGAGCACCTGAACTGGGCARTTCCTGCTGGGAATTCTGCCCACTCTCTGCTTTTATGGGCACAGTTTGGGCTTGTGCAGCCTCCCTGGAGGTGAGGGGAAGGGGAGTCACAGCTTTGTGGCAGCTGGAGAAAGCAATTCCTGCAGGAATGCTGCTCCAGGCACCTGTGAGGCCACTCTGTGTCCCCCACTTGGTGTCCCCTGGCACAGGAGGTGCTTTGGGCTCTTCCCTTTGGAAGCAGAATCCTGTTAGCCCTAAACCAGGGAAGGGCTCCATCCTGCTTGGCTCTGAGCACATTCCTTTAATGAAAATATTCATGGAACTCCTGCAAACACTGACAAAACAGCAGCACAAATGCAGCATCTCCCAGATGTGTGGAGCTCTGAGGGGAGCAGGGAGGCTGCCAGCCCTGCTGATGGACCASGAGGAAATGATCCCACAAACAGCCCCAAAACCCACACACAGGCAGGCATCATCGTTACCCTGAGTTATGAGAGATTTCTCCAGGAAAAAAAAAACCCAAATATCCTTTAGTCAGGGGAGATTGGAGGCTGATTGGTGGATGCATGAGGAGAGCTCCCAGACCTTGCAGCAGTAATGATTTCAACTCTCTGCTGAGCACTAACTCTTGGCTGGGAAGAAAATTGAACATTACAGTCAGGAGGAACGTCCTGGATGTGAATATGGAGTGTTCCCTCAGCTGCAGGAGCAGCAGGGATAATTCAGCTGGGACTGAGCTCCCTGGCAGGCACCACACAGAATTTCTGGGAATTTGAGCATTTGCAGCCTCCAGTTGCTCCTCCTGGCATCCTCTTGGCTTGGCAGGGAGCAATTTTGGACAGTGCAGATTTGTGTGGACAGCCAGGCACTTTGGGGGCACTCAGATGGCTGAGGGTGAAGAGTTTTTGTGTAATTTATTCTTCTTAGCCCTTCAATCTTCAGCTCAGGGTTTGGGGCTCTTCTCAGAGCCGATGGTTTTATGGAAATGCTCATTTTSCATCTTTTCCTGCTGCTGGATCTGAACTTTGTGCACTGGAAACTGTCAATGGTGTTAATTGTAAAAGGGGCAGGAAAGGTGTTTTATCATTTCACCAARCTGTGTCAGTGAGGGACAAAGCTGACAGGGGGAAGGTAAAGATCTGAATTGGAAGGTGTTTTATTGACCAGTAAAAAACAGGATTTCATCTGATTTCAGTCACTGCTCCCTCCCTCGTGTCACACTGTGCCAGTCTCTTTGCCTTCAGTTTATGGCTCCTGATTATTTTAAGCAGCCAGAGCCATGAAAAGCTTTGTAAAAGCTGGAAGTGAAATCAGTGCCTTTATTGGGAATGGTGAGACCCTTCTCAGGGCCAGGAGAGGATTCCTCCCTTTGCTGCTGTCTCAGTTGGAGAGCCCAGGGCAGTGTGGTGTGAGAGGTTCAGGAGGTGAATGTGACTGTGAGGGGTAAAAACTTTCAGGGTTAACATTTTTGGGATTTTGAGCATCCCTGGAGGAGTGGTGAGGAGCTGGGCAGGGCTGTGGGGGGACTGGCCTTGATTCCTGGTGTCACCTTGGATGACTCC